CGCGCGCAGCGCGCCCGGCAGCGCGGGGATGAAGGCGGTCATGGTGGAGGCGGGGCGCGAGCTCGGTGGCAGCGGGGGGGCGGGGGGCGGGGTGAGCGGCTGAGCGGCTGAGCGGCTGAGCGTGAGGGGGAGGTGCGGAGGTGCTGCGGTATGTGCGGGAGGCGGCTCGTGTAAGGGCGCTGTAAGGAGACGGGGATGCGGAAAAATCTGGGGCGCGGGTCGGGCGTGGGGCGGCGCGGCGCGTGACACTTGGCAAGGTGCTCGGCGCGGGTTGGGCGCGCGGCAGATGTGTGTGGGCGGGGCGGTGGGATAGGTGGCCGTGCGGGGCGCGGGGGTTTGCGGCTGCGGCGCGCGCGCAGATCGAATGCAGCGAGGGCAACGGATGACGCGTGTTGTATGTAATGTTACCCAAGGGTACACCAGGGTACAGGGTGAGGCGCGCGACGCCTCGCGCTGTAACTTTACTACAGTTTACTACAGGGTGCGGCGCGAGCGGAGATATTTGCGGCTGATCGCTGCGCGCGGAAGGACGCCGGTTCACATGGACGGTTCGGCGCCTGGGCATGTCCATCGTGCGGAACGCTATACACGTTTCCACGTGGGTACGTCGCCACGTGTAAGATGCGTGCGTCGGCCCTCCGGCTGGTGGTGCCACGGTGGCACCATCTGCCAGCAGATGGGACTCACGAATTACAGTACAATCCTAGTACAGTATGACAAACGCCTGAAGACCCCTACAATTATCCATACAGGGCTGTATAGGACTCACCCTTTTCCACGCAAGCTCGACAGCTGATTGGGACCTTCGGCAAGCGTAACGATAATCTCCGCGCGCGATGCGCCTGTAATTTACGCTGCCAGAGGGCAAATCTGCCGAGTATCTCCCGGGAAGAAAAAATCGCCGACATGCCATGGCCGTAGAACGCCATGCCGTCGCGATGTCCATGCTGACTGCATGGACATCGCAAGGGCTCGGAAGGTCGTATCCATTTCCAAGAGGGAGAAAAAACAAAGGGTTGATTAAAGTGACAACGGACAGGCCTCTAGGATGGTGGCCTACAGTACCCTTGGGTACAGTGAGTAGGAGGCCCTGAAATCCCACTGCCACAGCATGCCATGCCGGCGACGGCCCCAAGTCCACGTAGCACGGTGCTACGTGGCGCGTGTGCTATAACCGGGCTGGCAAGGTGGACGATCGCGACTCAAAACAACAAAAGAGAAAATCGGAA